TGTAGGAGCGAAGGCGGGAGAGGCGAGGGGAGGCTGGCTGCAAGCTCCCGGCGAGGTGGCCGCCGGCGGGGGGGGCAACCCTCATCCTCCGCCGGCAAGGCCCGGCCTTCAGCAAGTGCCCGCCCAGGAGCGCGTCTTAACTTATAAAACTCTGAACACAACTTACAAGGCCCAGAATGACAAACCATAGAGCTAACACCAGTTTCTTTAAACTCAGGTGGCAGAGGAAGAAGGTTTATGAGGGGAAATAAGTACAAAAGTGACATTTTTATAGCATTCTTCAGCCATGTACTGCAGCGATCGTTGTCAATGTGAAAGGGGCTTTTGGAAAACCTAGGCAAGGAGCCTGCTGTTCATTATTACAAACCGTAAAATTGAGGTACAGAGATTAAAATGAACACAGAGTTATCAAAATTAGAAAGTAGGATCCAGGTGTTGACTCCTGGGAGCCTTCCTACCACGGGTGTACAATGGCTTATTTCTAAAATAGCAGACACAAGTATCAAAGTAAAAGACATGAAAAGTACATGGAAATAACAGTATGTTTGCACAGAAACAAACTTACCTTTGCCCTTACACCATCCAGGAACACTGCTGTGACCTGGAGGCAAGGTTTCAAAACAGTGTCTTGAGTGCTTCACATTATTGTTATGTACTCTATTGCCTATCAGCACAGTGACCAAAAACGCCCTAAGGTTGCTCCTCCTTTCAAATGGTTTAAAACACATACTAAAGTAGATTTGTATTTTCTTTCCTCAGCAGGACAAAGCGATCTCAGCCTGTACACTGATGCTTTCAAAATAGCAGCTGTCACACAACCACGCTTTACAGCACATCAGTGGATTTCAGCACGTTTTCGTGATCACTTGAAGCTTTGTACCCTCCACCACTCCCCATGTCACATTCAGCCCAGAGGTTTGGCTGTGCCACGGTCCAAGGCCTAGTTTGATGCAGCACTGCCATGTGACCTTGCCTGAGTTTTACTGAGAAAATTGTTAAGCTATGAGAAAGTACATGAGCTAAAGCCGTGAAAGACAAGAAGGTAAAGTCACAGAAGTGTTGTTGGGATGACAGTAGTTAGCTGGTGAAAGGTTCAAGAGAAAAGATACAGAAAGAAAGAAAACCGGAAAAAAGATAACTCAGTAATGCTGAGGATCAGCCCATACCAACAAATGGTAGAGACCATTCCCCAGCATATTGAAAATATCCTGGCCAGCTAAGACTCATCAGTTTTCTTATCAGGAGTGGTAAGCATATTACTGTTTAGCCTAGTAATCTGTTAGTCCTAGCTATCTATTTTGCATATTAGCTGATACACACAATTTAAGTAATTATTTATCCTGCTTGCAGAGTCTCTTTGTGCATGGTAAATGATGCCTGAACAAAAGCAACCCATTGATCGTGAGTTGCATGCTCTCCTGCTAAAGTACTTTCTCCCTGCATTAAACTATTATAAACAATTAAAAATAAAATTTAAAAGATCTGTCCATACACAACAGTTAGTTTTTGCTAATACTGCAAGATGACCAGAACTGACATTATAACAGCCACCCAACAGCTTGGCTACATTTAAATTATATACAGTTTCCATTTTTTCCATTATTGCTAAGCACTGGGTATACACCTATGGTATCAACTGCAGAAGAACTAATATAAATAAGGCAACATCATAAAATATATAACACTTTCTGTCCAAAAAAAGGTAAATGAAATTGCCATTACATTTTTCCATTTACCATTTCTATGAAGGTTGTTAGAGAAGAGGCACTGGTCCACAGGGAACAGTTTGTCTCCTCTCTTTCTGTGACATTGCATTCCATCTGCCTAAAGACTAACTTCCGTCTTTCCTGAGGATCATTTATTTTTATTAGAATGGAAAAGAAATATAGTGTTAGATCCTTAAATTTCTATTTAAAGTCCCATTATAGTTTAATGTTAAATAGCATAACAGCTTGATTCCTCCCTCCTCTCATTAAATGTTGAACAGCTGAGATAAAAATTGGAATATGTTAAACACTTAACAGTTTAAAACATTGGTCAGTGCCTGCCAATAACAAGAAATAAAAAATCTATATGTAAGTAATAATAAAAGAGATAAAAATTAAAGAGCTGTTTCTAAATGAAGGGCCATATTCAGTTCTTGTTACCGTCAGTACTAAAAAGCTATTCGAGCAGTGTTCTGGAAGTTCTGCAATGTGGTCAGAATGCATTTGCAGAAAATACATTTTTCTCTTACTCAGCAGTTCAAACAATTTTTAAATGTATCAGACAACTATACAGAAAAATATTCAAGGTGATAACCAGGGCTTTCATAGTTGAGTTGCTTCTATTTCCTCTTTACCTCAAGATGAGTGCCATGCCAATCACATTTGTGTACAGCAAGAAGAAAAACAACCAGTGTTTAGCTGAGTCAGCTGTCTCTGTGACTTGCCTTCGAATATCCAGGGCTTGGTTTCTTAATTATGGATGGGGAGATTAATTTGCACAGACCTCAAATATCCACTGACTTGGGTATCTGTTGTTATGGGCACATATACACATGTGAGTGCTAATATTAAAGCTACAATCATACTTTCAGAAAAATTTCAAGAGTAGCTTCGACTTCAGCTGAAGAAATGTTAGAGGAAAGAAAAGGTTTCATTTCTGAATGAAATTCTCCGTAGAACTTAGACCTAACCGAAAGATTTTATTATTCTTTTTTGAAGCTACCATATCCTTTATTTTCTGCTTGTTACAGAAATGCAATGCAGCTGCAATACATGCATTATTCCTCCAAGTATACTACCACGCACATAAAGCTTGGGAACAGAAGCAATCAATTAAATCAGCGCAAAAATAATTTCAGTGCACTTCAGATTCCTGGTTTATTCAAACCAGTAGCATTCCTCCCACATTTGCACAAGCATATAACAACACTGGAAAGGTCTTGAAATCTTTACTACCAAATCAGCAAACCTCTACTTAGGGAAAGGGACTAACTTAACTGTTGAAGACAATACTTAACTGATGAGTCATTAAAAAGGGTCTTCGGGTTTTCTCCCCAGCAAATTTCTATCAGCTTCTTCATAAAGGACTAGTGAAATAATCTTCCTTGGTCTATACTTTTTCTACTCTCTTTTGCCAGTTGTGAAAACTTTGAGAACTAGTACTACAGTCCGAACAGATAATATCAGTTGTTTCAGACTACATGGATCTACTAGACTTATATCTACGCTATGCAAGAATATCTAATAAAATACCTAGTATTTTACAGCATTCAAGCAATACCCTTCATATGTAACTATAAAACAGCTATAATGTCCCAAACAAAACACATAATTTCTCATGCAGGAAATTAATTAACTATAGACCTTAAATCTTGCTTTATTCCTTGAATATGCTTTGTTCATTAGACCACCCTGTACTTAGATTTTTTTTTTCTTAAATTGATAATATCTATCAATTTTTTTCTTTAAAAAAAAAAACTCAAATCAGAAATAACTATTGGAAGACTGGTATGTCATTGTCCTGTTCAGTATCATAGGAAGAGTTTTACTAACTGGTCACACAGAAAAATTAATGCATAAAAATCTTAATTGACATAGGAGAATGAAAGACTGTAGAACTTTAGATGTAATTCACTGATGTCAGTGGCAGATTTTGCCTTACTTAAAGCTGCAGAGAGTTCTGTGTTTACCGTGTTAGCTGCTTCTTCAGCCTCAGCAGCTAGCAAAAGTTAAGTCTGCAAGTTGTATTAGTCAGGGGAAGAAATGGATGGTGAAATCAGGGTCTTTTTATTTAAAAGAATCCACAAATTTCTTTGTGTCTCAGCACAGGAGGATTTAAATGACAGACACAGCTCATAGCTCCAAACCTCATTCAGCCACCACCCAATCCAAGAGATTTCTTCAGAGATTTTTTTTTTTTCCCTTAAGGTCTCACAATTACCAGCTCTCTTGAGATTATATAGTGGCTTTCTATTCTTAGCATATTTCTCCCCTCCCTCTCTCTCTCTCTCACACACGCACACACATACACTTCCTACTCAAAACAAGACCCAGCGAAACCCTCTGCCCACATAGTTATAATTCCCAAGAGAACTTTCATATGCTTTTGTTTTGGGCAGTGACAATGTGCATATGTTTTCATTCCAGGCCCCCTATTGGTTCTCATGCTGTAGTTTAATGAAGACAGACCAGCTATTAAACTCAGCAGTTTCGGCAAGCTGTAACTCAGCTTCTAGAGTTCCTTTGACCTTGCAAGTTGGAGTGAGATTTTTTTTTTTTTTTTAGCATGTTGCCTATTCAAGGATATTACTAAGTAAATGTTTTGGTTTAGCAAATACATACATTTTCCTATGGGTGTTTGGTTTTAAAAGTATAAGGTGCTTGGACTATAATAAAGAGCATGAGATAAAGATCAAGATTAGTAAATTAGATAACTGCTGTGAAAAGGAACAGCAAAGTTACCCCTGAGTTCTTTAAGTCAGTAAGAAAAAGTCTAAGAACAGTGGAAATGGACAGATATGTTTTTGTAGTTGAGTCATTCCTCACGATTAAAGTGAATTACAACTGTGCTAAAAATAGAATATCCACAGAGATATAATAAAATTGATTCAATTAGTTTTCTGTTTAGTTGTACATAAACAGGTTTCTGATGAAAAATATTGCTGGATATTTTGCAAGAAGTTTCTTTAAGCCTTTCCTGTTCTTCCTAAATACTATTGCATGCCTGAAGAAAGGAAAAGGAGTTCGGGGCAGTCCCAGCCAGTCAGCTGGTCAGTCAGACTTCTATCTTTAACACAGAGACATAACAATTTTTGCTTTGAAAGTTACATGAATCACAAATCATCCCTGTCATGTGAATCCAGACACATCATAGTTTGAAGAAAGAAAGGTGCCCCAAATGAAGACGTTTGCCACAGATGCGTGAATTATAATACTGTTTGGAACTGAAAGACAACAAGGTTTTACCTTCTGGAGCATAGATTTCATGGATTCAAATTCCAACACTGTGGTTGTAACTGGTAAGGTTTTTATTTTATTCTTCTTTTAGCTAGAGATGGTATGCACACATGCTTGATCTTTGTCATAAACAGTTCCCTGGAGGGAAAACCAGTAGCAAATGGTCATACTAACAATTCCAAATGGAAAATAACTTGCTGCTGTGCCTTCCTAAGAAAATCAGATGCATGTCAGAGGAAACAGACTGCAGTCTGCGCTCTTTACTGCCATCCAGTTTGGTTTGTTGTTCATTCTCTCCATGTTTTAATCTTTGTTGACATTCTCTCTGATCCAAACCACATAGCTCAAGGCAGTTCAGGCTAGTATTAGATAAAGCTTACCCAAAAGGAGCTCTGAAGCAAGAAAACCAGGTTGCATCACAATGTCACATAGTCAGCATCCAGAATTAGAGCAACACATGGCAAGTTTCAGGGTGTCAGTTTCATGGCAAGGTAAGGGAGATTTAAACCGGAGATGCTGCCTCATCACTGCTAAACCAGACCATTAAATTTAAATATACCAAAGGAGCATGCCTGAACGTGCAGCACAAGGGACCAAATTTGGAGTTTCTCTTGCTGGCTGTAACTACTGCTGAATCACAGTGGCAGAACCACCAGCTAGAGACTTCTGAGCTTTAAAAGGTTAAAGCTCTTAAGAAATGCTGCTACTCTCTATTCCTCTTGTTGCCACTGGCTCATCTAAAGGCAATCATTACACATATCTTGACATGTGAGTTGCTGTATAATTTTCCACTGCAGGTCATCTGAGGACATAGGAATGAGGTTGAAGCTACTTCAAAGAGATTTGCATCTTGCTGTTTTCAATTAAACACTTTTTTTTTTTTAATAGCTGCAAGATGGGCAGAACTAGTTTGGCTTGCTCTAGACATAACTGCAGTTGAACTGAATGGGAGTGCAGAATAGAGCAAGAGGAATTTGCTAACCTCTTAAAAGGCTGACAATCCGGTTCTCTCCTACGACATTTGTGGCACATACCCTTGATGGACACACTTCTTAGCACCTTATTAGTTTTTTCCTCCCCTTAGATGCCATTTAGGTGCAGAAGTCTACTTGTTCAAATAGTTTTAGACTAGTGTGTCCTGTTAAAGACACAGGTGCATCTTTAAGCTATTACAGAGATTATCACAGCATGCCTCTGTCACATTTTCACCTGCTCATAATATAAACCTGCTGGCAGTGAGCCCAGTTTATTACACAGTGCCTAATAACATTCAGCCAGTTAGCTCTCCAAGTTGTTGCAGGTATTTCAGTACTGTAAAACTCTCTTACATTTAGTCATTTCTTTCCATAGAACAATTTTATCCTAAGCAGTTATTTCTTATGGCCACAACTGAGATGCATGTGTTTCATCGTGAGCTATTTAATAACTCTACTATAATTCTGCAGTTCTGCACACACATGTACAGAAACATGCACGACAACCACAGCTTCGAAATGGAGTAGGTGCCACCCTAATTTTGCTCTGAAAGCGGAGTGGGACCAGTGAGGTTTTCTGTTTCCTGTTAACGTGAAATGAGTCCTATTTCCCCTGTTCCCTCTCCATAGTACAAACTTAAACCTGGGGAAAACATTGTCAAAAATATTAGCACCATCAAGCTTTTCATAATATTGAAGAGAGAAGTTCTTGTATCAGTGCATATAAAAAATGAATGTCCTATTCCCTCAAGTGTTATAAAGGCTAAATCCTATCTAAAAAACTCAACCTCCATAACCAAAAGTATGAAGATAAAGAACAAATATGCGTATGCATACATGTCAGCACCTAATCTACAATTGCAGAGCAAGCATAGGTTAAAAGCACCTTCCTTTCTTTTCAGGTTTTGGTCCCTTTAGACAATACCTGGTTAATTCTAGCTGGGAAGCAGTAAAGGTAAGCATAAAAAAAAAAGGGAGGGAGGTGTTTTATTTTGTGGAGATCCCAATACAAACTGTGTTCAGGCTTTCCATTCCCTTCAAGAAAGTTATTTCTCACGACTCATTAAACAGAATTGTGCCTCATGGAGCAGACTCCCAACATGGAAGAAAGAGGATAATTAAGAAGTGAAATATTATTTTATTTGCAAGAATTTTTTTTGGTGCTATTTAAGCACTTTTCAAAGTATTATTCTTAATTTTTAAAAAGGGTATTTTTTACCCAGGGAGCCTTCTCTCCAACTAATGCATATGCCACAGGTTATCTCTGTCTTCAGTAAACAGATTATCTCATACCACAACTCATCATGTCTGTGTGAGGCGACTTCCTTCTTATACAAGTCTAGCCTATTGAATTCTCACTGCGTATTTCAGGAACACAAAACCAAAAGCATGCCAGTTCTAAGCATGTTTTCACATCTCAGCTTTGGCTTCCACTCTCAAATGACAGTGAAGTCTACAGTTAAAATTGAAAACAAGGTCATTCAGATTTCTTTCCCCTCCATACAACTTGACTAGTAGTAACATGTCTAAGATGGAGTCTTGAAAATTTCTGCTTATTTCCTAAGTATGTGTATTAGAACAAATTTAGCTGGGTGATACAAAGACATGGCTTGGATACCTGGCTTTCAGCATGAACTTTTATGTCACAATTGTTTATTTTCAAATTATTGTTTGTGTGAACCCACATTTCTTGGGACACACCAAAAATTTCCACAAATAGATTATTTTTCAGGAACAGGATCACTTGTTTTTAAAATGTTATCTAAGTTTTAACAATAACATAACTTCTCTCTTTAAATATACCTTACAGAATAAATACCCGACCATTGTATGTAAAAGTATGTCTGCTACAATGAAATAATTTACTAGTTTGGTACTTCAGTACTCTACCTCAATCTAAAGTGTGAAAGGTCATAGTATATATGTTCAAACAGTAGGAACAGCTGCAGAGATTTGCTGAGCACGTGTAAAAGTCACATCCAAGGTTCATTCATTCTCCTAGCACAGACAATGGCCTTTCCTTGAGTTCAGTTACTCTCATAAGGTATTTATGAACAGAGTTATTTTGAGAGGGTCTTTCACACAATTTCTTAGCAATTCCAAGGTAGAAAGAAGGTTAACAATGAAATCTGAACTGGGGAACAGTCAAGGTAGTAAAACTGAACTGGAAGATTGGTCCACTATCTGCAAGAAACAACAGATAATACTGGTAAAAATGGAAAGCAAGACACGTAAAACAAACTGAGGGGACTATGTTCTATTAAGGAGACTGAAATAAACCCACAAATATTTAATTCCTCGGGACACCGAAATGAAAAAGGTAGCTATAAGAAAGTAGTAGTAGTGATAGAAAGATGATGGCTCTACAGGACTATAACTGTGTTACAAGTTTTGGTGACAGCTACTGAAGATCTGTCTTGAAAATGAAATGCAGTCAAGCCAGAACGATTGAAAAACAAGGAGCTAGTCTATTTTTCCAAAGACCAAAGCTATAGCAACTCCACCAAGCTATACATATTTTCTATTTTAGCTTTGTTGGGTGAAGAATGCTGAGTGCAACTTGGTGTTTGGAAAAATAAATCTATTACCCACTCAAAGTCATGAGGGATGTTATCCCTGTAGGCTAACAAGAAACAAAAATACTTCTGTGATACCTTTCCACACCCCAGTCCACACAGGAGACCCATAAATTATCTTAACTCCAACTTGACATGTGCCCCACACCACAAATATTTGTCAGTTGACAGTGTTCTTGCTCATTATTTCCTGATTCCTATTGGTTCTAATTTTGGGTGCGAGCTCATACTCTTCTGGCTGAAAATAAAACATGTTCTTTATCTGCAAGCAAAACAGCCTAAAGCGAAAACGCACCGATGAGATGAGTTTTCTGTAACAATGCCATGCGCCCGCTACACCAGGAAGTTATATAACAAGGGCTACAGCATTCCATAATGAAACAGATGTCAGTCCTTGTGTACGGAGGAGAACAAATCCATTTCCCCCTGATGTGACACCCTCTGTGTGGAATTAATTTGTATTCATACTGGGGATGCTGCTGTGGTTTCCTATTCCCTGGCAAAGGTGGTTAATCCAGGCAATTCAGGGAAATTTGCTGCAAATCTGGGAGTACTCTGAATGTTGATAGGCTTCTCCACACTAAATAGCAATCTCATGGTATTGTTCCATTGGTCTTGTTCACATGAGTAGCCCTATGGTCTTCAGGAAGCTTATGCACATATATTAAATACAGCAAAATTTAGTATTTACATCTGGAAGTAATCCTGTCTTGGCTTTGGGCTTCCTGCATGGATCACTGAAGTGACATAAAGCCCCCCTGCCGAGTCTCTTTTCTGAGAACAAGCAAGAGCGCACTCAAACTCATCCTCAAGAAAGTACTGGGCAGCCAGATGAGAGCTACTAAATATGATTGCTCAGGCTTAATGCCTTTGTAGCATTATCCAGAACTATCCTAATTACTACCTCAAAACGAACTGGGTTCTTAACAAAAGCCTGGATACCATGGCAGCCTCAGTGATGTAATGCTGATACATGTCATTTTAAGAGTTCATATCCCAGAAGGGTCCTCACACCAAAAGCATCCAAAAAATACATGGTAACAGGAGTCCCAAGGTCCTAATTCTCAAAGCATAACCTTGCCCTCCATGCTTTTTGAAATAGAGTCTTTGCCAAAGAGCAATGGCTTCACTTCTGTGAGCAATGCTTGCTCCTACACATAACTGCTTCCTTAAGATCCCTGCTACCAGCTTCTCTGTAAGATGCTGTTACGCTCTGCCTGGCTGATGGCATCAGCCATTTTCCTGAACCTCTTTTCTTGCTGTAGGAAGGCTGAGAGATTGATCCAGTGAGCACACAGCCCATTCCGATAGTTGCATCCCTTCTATGCCCTCACTGGGCACTCAGAAAAATGGTTGTGTGACATTGTTTCTCTTACAAATTAACTATTTACTACTGCCTTTTTGGTGGATAAGCCAATTTCAATTTCTGAAATCCCCTGGAATCGGATGATAAATGTTAATAAAACTCTCCAAATCTCTATTTCTGCTGGTTTAGAAAGAGTATTTGTTCTGAATTATTCGATTTCTTATTGATACTGTGTAGCAGTGCATTGTCCCGCATTGCCTGTTTTATAATATGAAACTGAAATTTTCGAAGAATGTGAGGAGTACCTTGTTTTTGCATGAACCCAAGTTCTCATCAGAGCACAAGACGACTCACACACGCGGCGTTCATCACCATTGCATCCACGGAGTTCTCATTCCTCAGCAAGTAGCTCTCGAGTGTTCAGGGAAAAGGATAGTCAAATGGATCTGAAAGTACAGGTGAACCTGTCAATTCAGGGTCATCGAGAAAAGCTTCAGAGCTTTTATAGGCACTGTCACATGGCCCAACATGGTTGTCTAGCACTAGAAAGACAGCTTCTTTTTTAGAAACCTGTCTCACTAAGTTTTTCATGGTTCTCATAACTCCACTCACCTGAAATACCCTTCTAAAATACGCACGAAAGCTCCACCAGCAGCACTTTTAACTCTTGAAGCGCAGGACATTGTCTCTAAAGGAAAACGCCACCAAGTATTTACTCTGCATTTGCTGACAGATCACATTGAGTTACCGTGATGTGTTAGTTCTTCAGCACGACACGGGACCCTCAGAATCCCAGATCCCCCAAATTATTTATTCCATATTACAGATTGATGGTCCCAACTAATAACCCTTGATCTGACCCTGTTTCTGTGTCTCCTCCAGAAACTCCTGTCTGGCACTTGGCAGCTAAATAACCTGTCGGGGCAGTCTACCATCAAGGTCAAAGTCCCCAGTTAATAGGGCACAAATGTAAGTTGAGTGACAACATTCATAGTGATTAAACTGTTAGTGCAAAGAACAGGTCACATTTCCAACTGCTTCTGGGAACTATGTTTGCTATCGGGAGATGAGGATCAGATCTCCGAGTGCAGTTTTTCATCCTGCCACTGACCATGTGGTCTTTGGAAATTTGTCATTTAATCCCTCTGTCTCTCTCCCTCTCTGCTTTAGTTTCCTCACCTATGAAACTAAGGAGACATTGCTATTTAGTTCCTTCATTTCTGTTCTGGAACTTTCTTACATCCCTAAAGCTTTAAAAAGGTATCGGCAGGATTAAAAAAAAAGACCCAAACCCAAACCCACCAAACGACCAAACAAAAAAATCTTTGCAACATCCTTGCAGACTGACTGGGTCAACTGGTAACTTCGGTTTTCTTCCGGCGCCAACACAAGCCTTTTTGAATGAGGTTCACAAAATTAACACGTGCAGCCCCCTGCCTGCCCCCCCCTTCCTGGCAACCCAAATCAGTGAAAACTCAGGCAAACTTACTGAAATTTTCTGGAGTTTTCTAAAAGTTCAAGCTTCTAACACCGCACGTGACACACAACCACCGCACCGGAGCACAACTGTTCTGTGCAAATCACTTCTCTTTGGGGGGGCTGTGTAAGAACGCGGGCCAGAACTCCGGTGGACCGGGACTATGACCACGACGCACCAACAACACAAGGTCATCAGCTGATAATGCTGGATTTAATTTCCCTTTTAGAAAAACTTCCCAACAAAGAATCTCCACGCTTTCTTTTCAACCACTTCTCCCACAAAAGAAGTCCTCCAAAGCTTTTGTCCTCCTTTGAAGTTTCCTTTGCTGTTTCAACTACAAAAGACAGGCACTTGTTTACTGAATTATCTCACCAGCGTGAGCTCTAGTTTCCAGATGCAGTCATCCTCCTCCAGCCATTTTCAGTCTCTCACCTTAAATGCAAAAATGGTTTTGGTTAAGGCTGAGACTTGGCTGAGGCAAGGAACAACCTTTTTTTTTTTTTTTGTTCCATGTTTGCACAACATCTGGTCTAATGGGGTATAAGCCCGTGGTTAGGATTCTTAGCCAACAAAGTAATACACGTTATTGGCAACATGCTGAAATTGCCTAGGACATAGCGAACCATCTTCCTCTGACACAAATTCTCAGCCCTTTGCTATTGGCCAGCTTCTGGTTTTGTCCTGCACAAGAGTATTTCTGCGTGTTTCTCCCATGACAAATGGTGACAACAGAATGTCAATCCAGAGAGCACGAGAGGAGAACAGCCTAACAACTTACTTTGGGTCTCCACATTCTGTACCAACGTTACGGGTAGTCGAGTCCTCTAAGCCTTACAGTTAAAAAGGAAGAATCTCATTAAATGTTAAGATTAGAGATGCTTTAGAAAAGAAAATGCTAATTGTGAACCAGCTGGCGTTTTATTTTTTGGAAGCTAAGACACAGTACAGCATTCTTAAGCAAGATGATGCAATGGTCTCTCAAAGACTGTCAGCGCCCAGAGGAAAAAAGGCTGGCACTGTTCTCTAAATGTGTTTACTTCCCTGCAGGCATTGTTTCCTTGCTTGTGTCAAATAGTTTATTGAGCACAGCTAATCAATGTTTCCGCTGACAAGAAAATTGGAACAGTTTATATAGGAAGCCAGTGTTGAAGGGCAAATTTCCCAGTTCGCATGGATTAGAACTGTGGGCCTCAGCCGCCTGAGAGGCCTTAGTGAGGAATGAAAGCTTGAGAAGACAATGACATTTAATAAACAGTTAGAGGTTTCTTGGGCTAATCGCGTACCTCTGCTGCTGACTTTTTGCCCATGCCCCCCCTCAGGAACTTCACCTGTGTCCTCCTTCGGTAGTGGTCTGCTCAAATGCAACAGGGATTTTCAACCACCAGTTCACTTTTCTGGGACAAAGCTTTCTACCTCAGACGCATTCCTTCTGCATCCTGCCATTGCAGCAGCCTACCTTCTACTTTAGCCCTATTCCACAGGCAAAATCATTTCAAGTAATTTCCACGTGACGTTTCTTCTCCAGACCACCTTCCAACCATCTGGCCAGTCTGCTGCTTTGAAGGGCGCCTTTGTTTCTTTCACCTCAATCCTGGGCATAATTTTTGTTTCCTTTGGGAAAAGGTCCCATGTGGAATTTCAACTCTACGTAAATGACAGAGAAAGAACATCCCAATAAGTGACATTTCCTTTTACTAGGGGACCATATTCTAGACCAAAGAAGAAATTAAGCCCATTCTAAATGTGACCTTCGTCACATTGACAGTCACGTCCAGCAGAGCTTACCTGAACCAGTTCAAGCCAGCAGATCGCGTGTCACTTGAGTGGACAGCTAACGTGAATTCTCCCTCATTTGTGCCTCTTGACAGTGCAGGTTTATCTACTAGATTTTTCAGAGGAACAGCTCTTACCTATATCAGCGCCTATTTAGATGCTTTCAAGTGCGGAGCCCTTCTGAGAGATCCTGTATTTCATGGTTCCCCACGGACCAGTCCCTAAGCAATAACCACTCCCACCCATTGGAGACTGAGCATCCCTTTGGAAAACACGACAATGGCTCCACATGGACGTGACATTAGGAAATTGGTCAGCACATTTTAGTCTCTCCCGATTGAAAAAGGGAGAGCTACCACAACATTCAGACAACTGAATCTCACGGCAGACCAATGTTTAGGAACCACGGGCTTAGACAGCATTACGTTGCTCTTTCGTATGTTTTCTGTTGGATCAGCCTGATTTCTTTATCGCGGTCTGAGAAGTCCAATGCTCTTACAAGTCCACGGTGGTTTTTTGTTAACACAGGAGCTGTCCAAGAGAGGCCTTGGTAAAAACATAGACCTCCGTATCATGCAGCTGCCAGTGGTTTACCAAAAAGCAAAGGAGCAAGTCTTCATGATATGGACAACTCTTCAGCCACTGGTGAGTGATTAGGCAGTTATACATTTTCCCCTTCATTTATGAATATTATTATTCTGAGTGGAGCTTTAAAAAGATCACCACAAGAGTGCTACACAGTACGTGCAGCAGACAACTCTGGAAAGTGACTATTAAAACTGTGATAAAGGTTTCAAACTGAAATCTGGAGCACACAATAATTAGTCGTCTGTTTTAACCCCATGCCGTTTAAACAGCGTAATTGCACACTGAACAAGGAAAAAAAAACCACCAAAAATTGCAAAAACGGTACCACAGCTCTGAAGCCCTGAGCTGACTAGACACAACAAAAACAAACTAAAGCATAATTTTGTTCTCATTTATAATCTCTTATCAAAGTTTTCTTTAGGCGTGAGCTACAGCAAGACTCCCTACCTTGAAGCTAGTATTTCCCACAATGCTTGGCACTATTGCATTACATGTTTTTAAAAAACAGGTCTCATTTTTAATTTCCTGTTATTCGCTCTGGTGGGAAAAAAACAGCTTACTGTTCACGTTGGGCTGGCTTCATCCGCCAAAGCAATCATCATCCTTGAGCAGTGTGGGAAGAACAAAGGCTACCAAGAAGTGGATGCTTGTGGTTTTCACCCAGAAGGTGGCTGTTGCATGCTAGATGGCCCGGAAAAGATTGAATCTACAATTAATATGAAGACTCTCTGGAAAAACATTTCAGTGGAAGGGATTGATATAATCTTTTCCAGAGATGCGGGAAGGTAAACATTGCACACTGGGGGCTCGCATTAAAAGCAGAAGTAACTCAGTCAGCTCATTTAACCTTGAAGAATCTTTGCAATGACTTTTCCTCCAACCAAAATCGCTTTGAAGCAAAGTCTTCAGAGGGGCACAAGTATGAAAATGGGATAAATCTACATTTCACGTAGAGCAGCCTTCATGACAAACTGCAGCCAGTAGATATTTTTCCATAATTTGTAAATTATAAAAGAAACAAGGTTCAACATAGCGCCCCCTGCCATTAACAACCCCAGTAAACCTGAGCTATTAAGAGGGTCTGAAAGCAATACTGACTCGTAGCAGATTTTCATCTCTTTTTCCCAACTGGGAGGGATACAAAATACAAGTACATACACTGAAGAACAGAGCAATTACAGGTACCCTTTAGAATTATGTCTGTGATCTCATTACGTGTTTCAGTAGCACTGAAGCAATTTTCTATTATGCTAGTCATCATTTAAAAGGAACACACAGAAAATGATCTCATTTTAAACCATACAAATCAGCTAATTTTGGCCCTTAATTTCAGGATTTGCACCTGCAAGTTAGAAGGTGACAAGACAAAAAAACCCTACAGGTGCTGAGACTGTATGACTTACACAAAAAACTGTATTACGCAGCTGTAGTTCCAGTAGGCTGTTACCTTTCCCATCCCGCATAGCTTATAGGAGCCTAGAAAGGAATGCATGTCTCGTGGGTTTTTTATTTAAAGTTCCCTCTGGGTGGGTGTCTGAGAAACCAAACCATCAGATAAGGAACATTCGTTTCTCAGACTTGGTTTATTTCAGCATTTCCTTTATTCACTAAGCAAATATGTTTTTAATAATTTCATAAACCAGATCTGGTTTGGCTACTTAAGGAGTATTTAAATGTAATCAAAGCTTACTGTTCCTTAATTCAGGTTTCTGGTTTTGTTCTTAATATTGCAGGTATATCTGTGATTACACCTACTACACGTCTCTGTACTATGGCAGTGGAAGGGCAGCTTTCATCCATGTGCCCCCGTTATCCAAATCGGTAACAGCAGGCCTTCTAGGAAAAGCGTTGCAGACGATGATCTTAGAAATGTTGAAACAGTGTGGGGAAGACAGACAGTAAGATGGATCGTATAAGAAAAAAAATGAGGATTTCTTAGAATGCAATTCCTTACTCTCTTAAATGAAGCAAATTTTCTAAAGAGTATTTAAAAACCTTGCATGAAGGATTTTATATTCCATGTTACTTTCAGTGAAATTTCCTTACGAAACCCAAACAACGGTTTAGATCTCTCTGGTGTAAAAAGCTTGAGAGAAAAAACGAGTGATTGGCAGTCTGTGTTGCTAACAATGATAAGGTTGCGTCAGATTTAAGAAAGCGTGAAACTGAACTTAGAACATTTTAGATGCTTAATCCTAGTTCTGATGGTTAGAAAGACGTTAATAAAGACTTGCTGAACCAAGACGGATGCTTACAGCCGTAAGGATGTTCAGCATTGGACGCCTGTAACACAGGTCCCCCTCGGGCCCTGTCCAATGCAGGGAGATAGTTCAGCCATACAAAGTGCCCACGTAAAAAAATGTAAATATAAACACGTAGGGTTCCTGTTACGTGAATTTTTATAATTCTCTTAGTGACCTTCTCTAAATGCTGGTTTCTACATCAGGAATGGGCTGCGAACCCAGAGCGACTTGAAGGAACGTAAATAACAAGCTGGAATCCCGCAGGAATGGTAACGCCGTTAGTAATTTGGGTCTCAACTGCCCGCAAACACCACTTACCCAAACGCTCAGTGCCTGTCCCAGAGGAAAACGCTGTAGTCCTTCCACAGAGCACAGCACAAAGGCAACAGTCTTTCCGTAGAACAGCTCACGGCTGCTCAGGGACTTACGCCTCAGAATCAAAAAGCTAACTTGTCCCAAGAAAGGCAATCACTGTGTGCCTTTGCGTGCTGTGGCACGTGATGTTAGTTACGAAACGGGAACCCAGCGACATCCCAAATTGTAAAACTTGGAATCGGACAGTGACAGATCACTTCTGTGCTTCCCCCCTGCCAAGCCAGGCTCCTCCACGTCTCAAACACAGCTACGTACAGAAGGACTGCGCCATGAAAGCTGGGTATGACAGAGGTTTACAGCACTCCCCCTGCAGCACGCAGGTAACGCCAGCGCACGCTCCCCTTGATCATCTTGCTAGCACCACGACAGACAAGGAGGAGATAAAATTAGCAGGTGTTTTTCAAAAACGGTCACTAGAACAGGGCAGCAGCAGCTTGATGTGGACACCTGGGATTTCTCCAGGGAAACAAAAGCCCGTTCCTCAAGCATCACGTCAGTAAAAAGGACAGCAGACAAACCCAACAGCACGGACAGCTGATGAAGCTTTGGGCCACCATCGTGCCTTATTTCAGTCAACATCCAGATGCCAAGAGTCGGAGCAACTGGAAATGCCAAGATAATTCTAGTTTTCTTGCCACTGTCTTTTCCGACGACTGTTACAGAAAACTGATAAGCACGTGCTGGCTGGCTGAATGCCTCATCTATGGATTGCCGAAAGGGCAAATAAGCAGGTTTTCTTCGAATAAATATATCAATAAAACAAACCGCTTACCTTATTCAAGGGAGCTACCTACCGCAAAATGGGACTCGAAGTCCCATCGAGAAAGGGTCCACGAGCCCGGTGTCAACTGGATGCGAATACTTTTGATTGTACGTGCCAACATAACGGCAGTACTGACCTCTACTAAGATTTATCCAGAGTAGTTCAATTAAATGCGGCCAAAAAGGGCAGAAGAAAAACAGATTTACTCGGAGTTTTCCAACCTGTACGTGCTTCGCAAAAGGAGCGACAAATTCAGAAACAGGCAAATGCATACAGAATTCTTTTATTTAACTTAAATCATGTAGTACTGAAACTACTAGAAAAAAGCAGAGTAAGAGAAACTAAAGGAGCCTTAGCTTCAGCCATTCAAAATAGACAAAGTTTCTTCTTTTCATAATGTAAAGAATCCCGAGTATATCGCAATAACAGGAATAAATTCTTACAACAGAATATACAAAAACATTTTGAAATTTTTTTTTAATCTACTGATTCATTTTAATATAAACACAGGAATTTCTTTAGGAATAATTTATACACAGCAAGTCTTTTTATGTAATAAATTGGCCATGTTGTTGTTTAATTTTCTCTTAAAAAAATTTAAACAAGAAAAATTGGAAAATGTTGTATTTGCAACTGCATCCATTCCTTAGCACTTTCTAGTTTTGTTTTTGTCCCAGAGGTAGACAAACTCTGGCCAATCCTTTCATCTCAAGCCTCACTGGTTCAGAAAACAGAAGAGCCGATTTTTAAACAGTATCCGAATCATCAGAACCCTTCAGCGACGTGGTTAGTCAAATCTGGGGGGAGCGAGGGGGAAGGGATCTTCAGCATTCTTAAATAAAAATAAATAGGGACCCTGCCTTGCTCCTTTCAGCAAAGCTTCAAATGGCGCTCGGCATCTTTAGAGGCTGCGTACAAACTTTTGAAGTGGTAAGAAATCTGCAAATAGTTCTTCAACATTAATTATGAAAACCGTCTTCCCTCTTTCTCTTATGCAGTCGCATCCTTCAAACCACATGGCCACCGTAAAGCAGGTACTGAACAGCACAAGTGAGACTGGGTAGCAGCAAAACCCGTTCTGTTTCCCCGACCAGTGAGGTTCCTGTAGTCCATTACGTTAACTGCCCTAGACAGTGAAGTGAAACGACCAGGTAAGATGATCCCACCCCAACCAGAGGGCTCTGGAAGACCAGGATACTGAAGATACAGAACATTTCCCCACCTCCTTTATTCATTCGCTGTATACTGGGACACGAAGCTTGGGCGGGTAGGGGGAGAGGGACAAGCCGTGAATTGGACAAGTTAGCGATCCTTTTTGGCATATTGTAAAGCTAGCTAGTAAACTGGTACCATCAAAAAAAACTGATCACGTACAGCCACACCCATACACAGACACAGAAAAGTGCCCTTAAATTATATTTTAGGCATTTATAAACTACAAACATTTTATAAAATTATTCTATGTACTTACAAAATGCAATGAAACATTTAATTAGTTCTTGTAAACCAGATCTTCGTCAACTGACTACCCGTAATCTACTGGACTTAAAGCCCTATTGAAAATGCTAATGGTTACTAATCAACAAAACGCATACCAAAAAAAAAAAAAAAAAAGATGAACACACGCATATGCGCACACACACACAAACTAGTGATAGTCTTAAGGTACTTGTGGAACAGACCAACTGTAAGTTGAGACCGACTCATACAGACCGATATTAACAACCGTTAACTCCTGGCAATGAATTTACCGCTCCAGCTGGAAAGTCCAGAGGTTTATTCACAAGTACCAACGATCAGAATTGTGACACCTGAGCTCTGACGCTGTCCCACATACCAAGCTCAGGAAACTACCCCAAACTTCTGCCAAGCCCTGTGTCTTTGTAAATACCCATTTCCGTATCCTTCGATTTCACGTGTCTCCACACAAACATTTCCCAGTTCTGATTCACCTGGCCGCGCTCAATTTCAGAGGCCCTTCATCGTCTCTGAGCAACCAGTTTCTGAACCGAGGCGTCCTTCGAAGCCCTCCTGCCTGGTTATAGTTCTGTATCTTCAGCACCCCCGGCCACTAGTGTTGTTTCTACACATCGTTCTTGAATTCCTCTCTGCACAACTACTCGTGGGTTAAGTTGCAATATCTGGCTTTTATCACTGGTTAGTAAGCGAGTGGATTCCCTCGCTCCTTCCTCCACTGTTCTTCAGCCCAGTGATTAGATACACGGTTGACAAACAAAATAAGAACAACAGGAAACAAGCGTTACTTGTACTAATGGAATGGAAAGGGTTTAAATATATATATCTATATTATAGATATACATATGCAGATATATATATGTATATATAGATATATATGTATGGAGTTATACCAACAATAGGAGCGTTGTTCACTTAGACTCAGACCGTACCGAACACCCCTCAGCAGTTCCCAGAGGACCTGACAGCAGTTCCGTCTGGTGACCACTCGTCCTGGGCAAACTGGGCTTGCTTTCCTTTGTTTTTAAAGACCAAGAGGAGCGTCAGTGCGAACGTGCCTAGAATCACACGTCACTTAGAACCAGCTTTAAAGAGCAGAGGCATCACGCTGAGAAAGGCTTGGTGCACACAGGCTGGCCTCACACTTTCCATCACGCTCGGCTTCTGTGTCTAGCTTACCGCTCCCCCAGAAGGGCGCCTTACTCAGTGCCACGCAGCCGACACTCCTGTGTTTACGTAGGAGCCACGTTCCTTTGCAACCAAACCACCTTCTGTGCCACCGAGCAGCTTTGAAACGCGAGTCAGGTGAGAACAGTGGCCGAGCACTAGAAACAAAGCCACCCGCTCCCCGCAGTGATGCCAATTTGTTGTCCTACTGCATTAAAACATCTTGGTACCATTTGTCAAAGCGCTGGTTTTCAGGGCTGGGTGGGCTTTTGTTTTTAATTTATAAACAAAGTGGATTACTTTAACTTTATTCAAACATAGCTGAAGTTCTAAATAAATTTTCCATACCAGACAAGCCAGTGGTCTCAGGGAAGAACAACATTACAAACCATGTTATGACTCTATCAAGCCAACATCAATTCTCAGTTGTTCACATGCACAAACAACTTGATTTACTGTCCAAGGGAAGTCTGCATGAAAAACCCGATGTGAATAAAGCTATTCAAAATGCACAAAACACAACAAAAAAAGCTATGGAAACAAACGGAACAAAAAAGGAATTAAGCTTGAATTGCAAACACAGAACGCAATGGTATCATGAAGGTGGTTTGGTCCAGGAGAGCTGACTGTCATCACGCATGCGTACGTGATGTCACGTGACTGTCTTCTACTGAAGTGCTTTTTGAAATGTTTATCGTGATGGGTGCTACGTCATTAGTGTTTCTTCCTAATGCATTTTAAAACCACCTACACACAATTATAAAAACCAGTAACTTGGACAGTTTTAACAAAACCCTCCTAGCCAGCTGAAAGATCTGAGGATCTCCAGTTGTGGTAATCAATATGTGCAAGAGAGGGGAATAGTCACTGCACCAAAAGGTCACCGGAACCTAATAAAAAAATGGAAAACCAAAACAACCTAGTAAATGTTTACATTTTGCTGGTTTCTCAGGGCTAGAGAGAAACGCTCCCTCCAAAGTCAAACTCTGTAGTACTTAACCACAGCGCTGCGTATTCAAGAGGCCGTGTACAACTCGAAGTAGCCACGCACCACATTATTCAGATACCACAACCAACACCTGCACGAACAGCTGCCGGAGTTGGAAAAAGAGAAACATTATACATCAAGTTGATGGCAAGCTCGTGTTAGTCCTGTGTGCTTGTAAACCAGTTACACGCTGTCAGAGGGCGGTCAAGATTTGATGGGTGGTCCATCAGAATCCACAGTTACGAAGCATATAAACGGGGGAAGAAAAGGGAACTGATTTTTTACTGGCACGTTAGAAGAAATCAATTCAACGTTAGTTTTGAAAAAAAAAATCAGTGCTCTCATCAAACAGAAGCAGCAAAGATCCAAAGCTGTAAACTCGATGTAGTAGTATCGTCAGGCAGCCTGTGACAGGCTCTTTCACTGTTTTTTTGGTCAAGAAAGCAGTGCTACTGCTGTACGAGCCAATTTATTTTTAGGATTCAGCCAAATGTCTTTTTGGTGCTTGTGGCACCTGAGGGAAAACTGGCAGGAATGACTTAGCCCATTCTACAGGACAAATAGAAGGACCATTCCCTTTACGCTAGCAATTCCTCTGGACCTTCAAACGTTGTCAACAATTGATTTCTCTAACAGATTTCATCAAATACTCATTATTTGAAGTCCTCGTATCAGGTCAGCTACGTCTCCGCTCATCTAAACATGCAGTGTTTTGTTGCTGACCCGAGGACTGCCGTGACAGCACATTAAAAAGCCTTCGTGCTTCCTTAAAGAATGGTCACCTTAAGTCAGACAGCTCTTGGATTTCTCCTCACAATCATGAACCTGAGCCAAAAAAATTGGACAAACTCCTTGGAATTGAGGCAAATATTCTGAAGTGACCCTTTGTGACAGGCAGTGACTGTTCCCCTCCAGAACCTAGAGCATGTGGTATATGGAGTGAGAGGTTACCAGTATCAACGGCATATATTGGCTGCTGAGAAATGTGAGATGTATTTTTTGTATATACACACATATAAAAAAATAAGAGTGAGGTAGATAAATGTTTGAAAAAAAATCAAAAACTGTCCCCCTGTCATACTCAAAAACCCTTATCTCAGTATTTAAATTTATTATGGGGCATCTCTACAGTGATTTAAACTGATATCACAAAAATAAATAAAAATCCTACATAGAATACCTTCTTAATTAACTTTTTTGTCTTTTTCATTTTTAAAAGGGAAAAATAACTACGGGACAGAGGCAAGAGAAGATAATGGGACCTAAACTACACAAGCAAAAAGCACTACAAACTTTTTAAAATCTCCAGTCAAAACTAGCAATCAGTATATTTTAATTCTTTGTTC